TTCAGAGAGTCCCTTCCCCCACTTATTCCCTTCAGCCCCCCGCTGCCACCAGACTCCTCTCCTCCCCTTGCGGGACCCTCAGTTCTCACCCGTCCCCATCCCAACACAACACTGTCACATCAGCCTTGCACACGGAGCTCTGCTGTGCGGGCTAGACCTCCCCTCCTCTTAGACTCAGGGCTCTTACCTTTTTCATCTCCGCCTGGGCCTGGCACTGGCGTTCTTCCATCACCTGCAGTTCTTACCTTTTTCATCTCCGCCTGGGCCTGGCATTGGTGTTCTTCCATCACCTGCAGTTCTCTGCACTTCTCCATCAGCTCTTCGCTCAGCTGTAGGTACCTGGCATTTACGGCTCCCAGGCTGGGGCAGACACACACAAATCACAATTTTAAAAGACCCCATGAGCCACAATGCAGGGGGTCTCAGGAAACCAGCCTTCACACATCTAGCCTCTCTGCCAAAGGCATTTTCACAGACCAAGACTGCTGCCGTCGTTTTGAGCCGATATAGCCCCTCCTCTCTCCCGTACCAACGGGAAGTTACCAACGTCCCTTGTAAACCTGGGACCTTCTCTACAGACCCATCCCCGGAGGAACCCCTCCACAGATTTTACTACCAACAGGGTGGATGATATGTTGCTCCCAGCAGCTGGCTGGCTCTTTAGTTTAACAAAGATTTCCCTCTCCGTTAAAAGGAAATGATACGTCTAAGCAGGTTAAAGAAAGTATTTTTTACAGCCTAAAGGCTGTGCTTCAAAACCAAAACAACCCCAGCCCTGTGGTAAGATTTTGGACTCTTCTTTGTATGGACTTTTAAAATATCAGTGCTTTGGACGATTCTCCTGTGTTTACCGCACAGGTGACAACACATCACACGTGCCATAGCGTGTGTGCGCTACAGGGTTTTAAGGTTGTGCTCTACCTGCCCTCAAGACGAGCCACCTCGGACTGCAGATCCTTTTCATTCTGCTGCAGGAGTGCGTGCTCCAGCCCCGGGAACTCCTTAGACAGCCGCTTCCCCCGCAGGTGTTCTTCCAGCGACCTGTGCACACAGGAACAGGACCGGCCCAGAAGGCCTTAGTCCCTTGGCATCCCTCACCTCCATGAGTGCTAATGGAACAGCCGGGACAGTCCCTGTGCTCTGGCCACAGGAAGGGGTCCGACAGAGGACAGGCCCTTGCCCATCTTGTCCCCAGTTCTACAAGCACCACCCAACTGTAATGCCCAGTGTGGCCTCAGCAGGCATCCTGACGGGTGCAAGCGTCTCACCCTGACGTAGGGATGGTCAATTTTGATTCACTGGCTAATCCGATAGTCGCTGCAATCTGCACCAACTATTTGATTAGCTGATAAGCTTCCGCCTTTGAGGCCCAGGGCTGCTGCTACACTTCAAAGGCAAAACTGCTACGGGGAGCGCCTGGCAGGGCCCCCCTGGCCCCGCGCCCCCCGCAGCGTTTCAAAGCGGCAGCGCTGCAGGGAGCCCAGGGTCAGCAGGGGACTCTGCATCCCCACACAGCACAGCCACTTTGAAACAGCGCGAGAAGCCTGACGCCAGCCTCCCCACGGCGTTTCGAAGCAGCAGCGCCACAGGGAGCCCAGGGGCAGCGGGGGAGTCCTCAGCTGACCCAGGGCTCCACGCAGCGCTGCCACTTGGAAACGCCGCGGGGAGCATGGGGCCAGCTGGGAGTTGGAACCTGAGCTACACGTGGCATTTCAAAGCAGCAGAGCTGCATGGAGCCTGGCGCTGCTGCTCTGAAGCCCTCCCTTCACTCCCCCCACACCTGCTGCCTCTTTCTGAGAGCGGCAGCAAGGGAGGGGGGAGAATTTGCTTACCAGATAGTGGACAAGTCACTCCCCTTCCCCTGATGACAGGCCCATGTTTGAATTTGGTCAGACTATGACAGGCCACCACCACAGCAGTAAAAACCCAGCAGGACTGGGCCTGTTCAATCCCTGCGGCAGGGAAAGGCCTTGCTGCCAGGCCTCCTTTGAGTACTTGAGGCTCTCGCCACCGCTCGAGGCAGAAGGGTGGATGCCTTTGCCACAGTCATGAGCCCCTTGCTGAGGCCTTTCTCCTACAGCCTCACAGTTAACGGGACACTGCACTGACTCCCGGGAACCCCCGGCCCAGCCTCGAGTGCCAGAGGAGGGCGTCTCTCCCCGCCGCTCGCCGGGGGGC